TCAGCCTGCCATAAAAGTTCTAAACGGGAACTATGCGGCTCCAGATGTCTTACTGAGGGACGGCTGCAATGTGTTGGATGTTGGTTAGCTTAAGGAATCAAACCGCACCTGAAAAGTTACGTGTCACAATCATGAAATAATTATATAAGTACCATTTATTACAAAAGAATGATAAAATGCCATTGTTAAATACCTACATGTAAAATGTGCAGGATAACCATCACTACCTATTAATAGATTATGTAAATGTGGAGGTATAATCCATGATGAAATGTTAGAATGATTTTCTTCGATAGGTCAGCACTTTCAGGCACACATGTAATATGAGAAATGAAAATCCAAGTGCATGGAGCCTTCCCAATTTAACCCCAATTAAATTAATTGTAGATTAAAGGTAATTCGTGGGCATGTCCAACATGGTTAAATATGCATACACAACACAACACAACACGATGGTATCTCAAGAAAGGAAGAACGGACGTCAATCATTCTGGGCATGCAGATAGCTTCAGCAGAGATGTGCACAATTAGATGCAAGTTATGCAAATGAGGACTTAATTTGCACAATGAATGAGGAAATACTACAATTCCAGGATTTTCGATAATATGCACTTTTAAACTCGAAACACATCTGATTTATGACAGGTGGAAAACAGATACCAAACATAAGGGCCTAATTTGCAATGTCAATGCAAACAGACAACTCCTTACTGGTGAATGATGGGAATTCTATTGTGTTGTGACATGTGCAACTTAAAGGTGAACTTCGCCATGCATAGCTATGACTTATGTAAATGTAAAAGATATAACATTTACAAAAGCTACAAATATTTCATGGAGGTATAAGCTTGCGGAACTCTAGTTTAAATTGTCTAGTGAGCGTTAAATTGTGGATTATTGTTAAGCATTTGTGACTGATGCCACGATGCGTGCTGAGGATAACTTACCATCCCTCTGGCGACTTGCCTGGCGACCTGGTACATATTCTTCTCGTCGAATTTGCAGCTGTCGACGTCATTCTTGGAGAAAATGAAACTGCTGTTGAAAAAAACAAACATGATACCTTCAGTGTACCCGCTTCACCCATGACTACTTATAAGTATTCACTCGTGACTCTACTGACTGTGACCAGACACTACGAATAGTTTTACACACACCCTCAGGCGTAAACCAGGTGCATATTCTTTTCACTAGGATTGGATTTCCGGTTTGCCTCGTTGGCCGACAGTTGCGGTATCAATAAAGTGCGACTGGCCAAGCCAAAAAGCAGTCAGCAATATTAGCACAGTCCGTATACTAGTAATCAGGAACAGTTGACCATCAATGAACAGTTGCATCACGTTTGGGCGGCTGGCCACCAGGAGCGTGATTTATTTTTAGTCAGACTTAGTAGATCTTATGTGTATTTCACCACACGGATTGATCCATTTCTACGATACGTTGTTACCAGTTGTTAAGTGATCACACACTGTTTACATACACTATACTGTTCTCAATCTGCAAAATATAAAACTTCACGGAGAATGTCGCCTATGGACACCTGTTTCAGGTTGTATTTACGTGTTTAAGGATGACATTGTCCCATTACCAGTTTTTACCTGTCATTGGTTGAACTGCTAAATATGATGGACAGTCCGGATCAGTTGATTCCAGTCCGGTGTCAAACCAAATACATGATCCTGCCAAATACATGACTCCTTGGGGTTTTCAATCTACCTGAGACAAGGGGTGGGAGGGGTTTGGAGACAATCGTAAGCCGCAGCCCTGAACAATGATCCCAACCCTAACCCTACCTCTAACCCTAACCCTAACCCTAAACACCAGACCTCTCACGTATGTGGCAGCTCAAGGATTTGGCTCAACACCGGTGAAACATAAACATGACCCTGTGACGTCATGACCCGGAAGTACACTTGTGTTAAGGGCAGACGGAAGAGCACCATAATTTTGCTAGTTTCGTCGGTTCATTTTCTGTCGAACACGAGCAGACCACACCTACACAACATATAGTCGTACAAGAGTAAACCGACAACATGGCGAGAACTTAGCGGACAAACTAGCAAGAGCTGGAGTTTCGTCTGGAAACGGGGGACGGTCCGGAGAGCGAGTACGGCAGAGCTCTGAGAGACGCCATGGCCGACACGGACTCGCGTCTAGAGGCCGGGAGGCGCTCAAATCTCTCGGCGACTTGCGTCTTGACAAAGAAAGACTCGCGAGGGATTTTGAAGAAATTAACAAGGTTATAACACTTTACACGGCTGCCTGTCTGCGATGTACGGATCCGGATCTCAGGGTAACGATCCGACACCGTGTTCGGTATTTGGAGACACTTGTTAAGAGAGATCTTCCCACCTGTAGATTAGATAGAGTCCTACAGGAGAAAACCACAGGACAGGCGGAAGTTCCACATATTACTTCTTCTTTCTCTTTAAACAGTATAACGAAGGTCGTTGAAAGGTGCTTGCAGTTGGACAAAGCCCAGAATAGACACCGGAGTTACGTTTATTCCTTGGAAGAGGAATATACCAAGGCGCTTGTGGAAGCGATTGAGAACAGTGACGCCTTGTTGGAACTCGAGGTGACGAAAAGCCTCGGTGATCTGTACCTGGAAGAGGGGAAAAACAGCTCCAGTATGGACCTGCTGTCGAAAGCGAAGGGAATGTACGAAACTGCCACAACAAGGTTTGAGGAACCAGAAGCGAAAGATGTTCTAACACATCGGGTTAAGTACGCGGAGAAGGTCATGGAAGTAGTGAAACGGGTAAGAGAATTGAACTTTATAGACTGATAACATCGATGTTTCCCCACTTTATACGCCTATAATAATACAGACAAATTCACTTTTCTTATGAACTTAGATAATCCTCTGTTTCTTAAACATGTATGCTTTTATATTTTCACCATCATAGAGAAGCGGGGAGAAGTCGAATTTACGTAAATAGACTAAGAGCGCTAGTGCTAGCTTGATCATGTATACATGTATATATACACAAGCTATCCCTTTGTACTCAACCCAGTGTTGTTTGTACAACATTCATTCATTATTCAGAGCATTCGGAATGTATTGGCCGTCTATACGCCCCTACACGAATTTTTCTTTCATTGATCCTCGGTCCCGGATGTTACCCGGTGGCTAATGTAAATAACAATAGACGCCGCCAGTGTTTGGCTCTGACGTCATTGCTACCTTGGAAACAAAGATGGCGGTGACCTTGGTATGACAGGGGAGGGACCAGTCAATCGGCGCGCACAGAAAGGGCACTTCAAATAATTATTTATTTTTATTTTTGTTTACCCTGGACAAATTTGCTCAGAAAGGCCCAGTTTTCTGGTAAGAAGGACAGGAGAATGTATATCTTTAAAATCTGCCCATGTGCGATCTTTGTCATGATATACGATTGGACCTGTAATTGACCTCTGATACGCGTACGTCTTCACTGGATGGACTGACCCACAGGGACAGAGGGGGTGAAATCCTGGTGTCATTTCTATATTCTGTCTGTAGCTGAGCTAACAAAACTATAAATACTTGGCTTCCTTCTTATCTCTTGCAGCTCTTATAGTTCAATCCTGCCACAGAATGAATTCTACCGAGAACAGTATATAGGGTATGGTATAACGTAATTGATTCTACTAAAACAGAATCAACTTCCACGCTAATGGCTGCTATATATTCCTGACATGTACAGCGTAATGATATGAGAACTATGCAGACACGGGGGGAAGCAAAAGGGCGTGAAAACGTGAAAGAGGCTAAGGATATGATAATGTGAGTACGATTGTAAAATACTATTAGGTATTATGTTTACCGAAGGAAAACATATTGTTTTTGCTTTGTTTCCTCTTCTTCCCCGCTGGAAGGAACATTTCAGTAGCTTACTGAACCGCCCGCCGCCACCCCCGTCCCCGCAGCTGGAGGCCCTAGCCAACCTGGCCACTGAGGACTCTACCATCTCAGCTGATCCACCCACTGTGGATGAAGTGCAGAAAGCGGTAGACAAGCTCAAGTCAGGACGTGCTGCCGGTGGCGACGGCATCCCTCCAGAACTGCTACTGAAAGGCGGCCCAGCAGTGGCACAGTGGTTACATAGGCTCATCACCGCCATTTGGAAATCTGACACCATTCCTTCAGACTGGCGTCATGGAGTCATTCTCCCCTTTTGGAAGAAGGGCCCAAAGGACATCTGCAACAACTATAGGGGCATCACACTACTTAGTGTTCCAGGGAAAGTCTTTGCCCATGTTATTCTTGCAAGGCTTCGTCCCCTTCTCCTCCTCAAGCAACGTCCGGAGCAGAGTGGGTTTACACCCGGGCGCTCCACGGTGGATAGAGTCCTTTCTCTCAGGCTCTTAGCTGAGATGAGGAGGGAATACAGGAAGCCGTTGTACGCTGCCTACGTCGATTTGAAACAAGCATTTGATTCTGTTGACAGACAATGCCTGTGGAAAGTCCTCAGGATCCTCGGTGTGCCCTCCAAACTCCTGGACCTTCTGTCCCTCTTGTACTCAGACACTACGTCATGTGTCCGTGTCAACGGACAGACCTCGGATCCCTTTACCATCAACAGTGGCGTTAGACAAGGGTGCGTCTTGGCTCCCACCATCTTTAACACCGCCATTGACCATGTCATGGCAAAGACAGTATCCCAGAGCAGCTGTGGTGCAAGCTTTGGCAACGTCACCATCTCCGACCTGGACTATGCGGATGATGTAGCCATTCTTGCCGAAGTAGTACAGGTGCTCAAGCATGCCCTGGAAGCCATGAACTTGGAGACACAACCCCTCGGACTGATGATTAGCTGGGGAAAGA